GACAAAAGCAGTGGCATGTAGATCTGAATGTCATCTGCGTAAAAATGGAATTGAACATTATGTCTAGCTATAATTGTCGCCAGAGGTGCAATATATAAGGAGAAGAGTAAAGGGGCCAGGATTGAACCCTGAGGACTGCCTGAGCTGAGTGGTGCTGTATTAGAAACATAGTCATCATTAAGAACAAAAAAAGTTTTGTTGGTTAAGAAGGAAGTAAACCAGCGTAAGACCGTGCCTTTCAGCCCAACGGAATGTTCAAAATTAAAGAGTAAAATCTCATGGTCAACTGTATCAAACGCTGCAGATAAAAGAACTAAAAGAACAGGACATTTAGTGTCAAGAGCCGTGGGAATATTGTTATGGATCTTGAGTAGCGCTGACTCTGTACTATGGCGGGGCCTGAAGCCAGATTGAAACTTATCGGCGATGTCTAACAGATCTAAGTGTGACTGCAGCTGGGTGAAAACAAAAAAAGGAAGAAAGGAAATAGGATGAAAAGATAACAGCAGTGATGGATCAAGATTAGGTTTTTTGAGAAGCGGTTGGACTATCACGTTTTTAAGCGCAGTCAGGACCATACCCGTACCAAGACAGAGTTAATAAAAGTAACCAAGGAGGGGCCGAGAATATCAAAGACCTCCTTGGTGATTTTTGCAGGAAGTGGGTCCGGGGCGACGAATGGGATTTAAATGACCCATACATTCCTTTAATTGTAGCAAAGAGATCGGAGAAAAGGAGTCAAAAATGTGTGATGACTGCAATACTGGCAGTGTATAAGGTGAAGGCCCAGGAGTGATTTGCCTAAGGGCCCCAATCTTATCACTGAAGTAGCTCTGAAATTGATTGCAGAGAACAACAGAGCCGTCCATAGGCAAAGCCCCGACTGGGTTTATGACAGAGTGTATCGTTTTAAACTAAATTCTTGGGTTTCGGCTATTATTCGCTATATTCTTAGCCAAATACTGGGTCTTAGCCTTTTTTGCAGCCTCCTGATAGGCCCCGAGGCTGCTTCTCAGAATGTGTAATGAGGCGAGCAAGCCGTCTTTCTTCCTTAGACTTGTTCTATCCAACCAGCCTTTCAAATCCCCAGATTTTTTGCAAAAACAGAGAAGCAACAAATCCTCACGTTTAAGTAGCTGGACCCGGCTAACATTCAGTATTTTTACTTAAAGCTGCACCAAGCAATATTTTTATTTTAACAAAGGTTCAGCTATGTATATTGTGAAAGGGGCTGCTTGTAAAGATGAACCCACAGAACATGATCACAGAAAAAGTATTATAGTATCACAGCACCAAATGACACAAGTTAGCAAGTAGCTAGTGAACACAGTAACAGCTAAAGGTATTTTTGTCAGGAGCTGGTGGAGAACAAAACAGAGCAGAAAGGACTTTGAATGTTGGACATAATTCACAAAGTGAATGAAATACAAACACAATTCCAAATGAATGGTGATGTTCCTCTGCATCTGCATGACACAGGCAACTGTTTGTCAGTATGTTTGCCATATCAGCTACACTACTGGTCAAAAGTAACGTATATAAGGTGATAATATGTCAATGCTATGTTTGCAGTTTGCTGTACGCCCCAAGGTGGCCCAAAAATAAATGAATACAGCTGCTGATTCATTTTATGTTGATTGACTAAATGATTAATTGACTAATTGTTACTTTCTGTATTCTGCCTGCTACATTGTCTTATCATCTGCTTGTTTGACCCAATAATGAACACAGTGACAACAGCGGATCAGAACATAATGTGATAATGTGTTGATGGTGGTTGTGTGCTCAGATAATGGGCAGCTGTAGCTCAGGTGGTAGAGTATGTAGGCCATTAATTACAACAGTACCAGTCCAATCCCTGGCTCCTCTTGTCTATGTTACCAAGTATCCTTGAGTGAGACACTGCACCCCAGATTGTGCCAAGTTGAGTGGATATGGAAAAAACGTTTTGGACAAATAAGTGTTTTATAAAGAACATTATTTTTACAACATTAACCAGTAAATAGTAGGCTGCTGCTGTCAGAGAGGGAGGTAAGGACAGCTGAAGGTGTTGTGCTTGCCAGGATTTAGTGAGGCATTTGTCTTGCAGGATGGTCTTGTAACCTTTCAGTCTGCCATTTGCAGCGATGCCCTGTCGGTTGTTATAGATGTAAGAGAGCCCACTGGAGGAGTACCCCCCCCCGCCCATGTACCCACCTGCCAGTGTGCTGTACCATGTGGAGCCCCAGATGTAGCCAGCAGAATAATCCACACTCATACACTCATGAAAGTGTCCATCTGTCCCCACATGCACACATTAAGCCCCGGAACCATACAGGCATGGGGATGCTGGGATGCTTCTGCAATCCTGTTGTGGCATTTACCAGATACAGCAGTGCGAGATACTTCTGTACTTTCTCCATAGAAAGACTCGAGCTGAGGTGTTGCATAGCTGAGAGTTACTTGGCTGTGACTGGGAGGTGAAACGGAGAGGGACTGAGCAGGATAAGCCTGCAGAGTTGACTGCTAGCAGAGCAGAGCAGAGTGAGGGGGATCTTTTTATATTAGCTGTGCCTAAGGCACATGTAGATAATAGAAAAGCTCCTGCCTGGCAGGAGTGGCACCATCACGACATGCCTGCATCACAGCTGGTAATGTTTATCCAGTCAAAAAAAAAAACAGCTTTTTTATTTCAAGGTTTTCTCAGCAAATCTGAAAAACATTTTATATCTTATTTTTGATTAAAATACATAAACATGTAAACAGCAGATAGAGGCCTGCTTCAGTTTTTATTGATTCCACATGCAATCTAAAAACATCTGAGCATATACAACAGTGTCCTGCAGAACACATTCATAAAGCAGTATTTATTTACAGTACATTCATAGGCAACATTATGCATTAAGGTGGAGATCCTGTTAAAAAGTTGTATGTCTTTTGTGGCTACATCCAGTCCGAGAAAAAACCCTGATGATGTCATCAGGATCATTTAGAAGATGCCATCAGTGTTATCTTGGCTTGAGTTTTATGACAGAAAGGTTGCATTATAACCTGGGTGATATGAACATGTACTGAGCATAGTGTGTCTTAACAAAAAGATGCTAGTGGCTGCATTATGGGAAATGTAGGATCTAATATATTCGAGGCTTGACTCATACTAGTGAACCTGACTACTACACCAAAAGTGGACTGAATGATGATGTAGATAATGTGGTTTGATCGCCTGTGTTGCTGAAGTCCCATGGACTCGTTTATAATGCATAATTTTCCCAGTGACATATCTTCCATTAGCATCTTGAGTAAATGTAACCAACAGGAATGATAAAAAATGAATTTCCTGAAAAGCATGTTTATAAGACTGATGACTCTATATCTAAAAAAGTGCTAAAGTTGGCAGCAGGACTTGCTTGAGGTTCTTGAAGATGATGCACATGTCATTCGAGATGCTTCTTCAGTTCTCTCCCAGTTCTCTGAAGAAGCTTCTTGGATGAGAGGTGAAACATCTCCAAGAACTTCAAGCAAGTCCAGTTGCCAACTTTTGGAGCTACCGTGGCCTGGAGGACTGGGAATCTCCACAGACTTATGGTGATTCTATACTTTTCTTATTGTGAACAGAATTACTGACAAGTATTTTCTGTGTACCCAAAGCCTGGTATGTCTTCTCCTCTGTGCCGTAGAGCACTGCTGTTGTCCAGAAACTATTAAAAACACAGCAGATACACACACTGTTGCACTGTGTGACATCTTCCTTCATTAGCATGAACAGACATTGTATTTTAGTTTGACTCAATCCCACATACAATATTCTGCTGCCAAAAATGCTTACTAACGTACCAATTATTAATCTGTGGCTGAAAATAGTCCCCAAAGAAAAAACAGCAACTTATTCATGTCTGAGTAATGTTGTTCTCAGTGGAACCAATGAGCTTTGGAAGAGAAGTCAGAAAACACTGACAGACAGAATAGTGCACTGTTGGTTTCGTTCTTTTCATGGGCTTCATTGATAGTAAAAAAATAAAATAAATAAATAAACAAAGGAACCTTGAACCAAGTGTCCTGGTTCCCAATTTAGCTATACCATTTCTCATACTAGCCGCCATGTGCAGCTACGTCTAGTATGAACATTCTCTCACTAAAGAAATGTGCAATGCAGCACCACAAAATAAGCAGATCCTAATTTTTAGCTATTATATATGAAGATAATCTGCAGTCGACATGATGGTAATATAACAGAAGGGCTACTTGCGGGTTATGGTTTATGTTTTAAGAATCAATGTCGCACTGGGAAGCTTTACTCTCATTTCTGAAGCAGCAGCGGGACAGATGTAGCTCTCACCCCCGTCCTCATCACCACTTCACATGCTATTCAATTAGCAGAAGAAGCATGGGAGATGGAGCCATAATGGAGCTGATGAGATGCACAAGGACAGGTGACACTAATCAGAGCGGCGCCCCATTGTCTCTGTGTGGGCATCATTAAGGAAAGAGAGTGATTTCAGGCTTTATTTGTCTCTGAGCCTGAACACACTCAGGGAAGTTGCGTGCATTCTCTTCTCTATCATCAATTTGCAACATGTGAAAATATATTCACTGAATAAAGTGAGAGTGTAAGGGTTTGACATGGAGAAAAACATGAATATTTGACACCTCAAAAATAGGTTTGGTAAGATCTCTTAAATGCCCTGCTGATAAACTGAAACTGTGATATCTTAAATGGCTGTTAGACACATCTAATGCCAATAGGGTTTACTCTCACCTCATAATCTGTAAACTCTCTGTTACAGGTTTAGAACAAGCTGAGACATCCACTCTTTAACACATCCGTTTGACTGGGTGAGGGCGCAGCTGAAGTGGCCCCAGACCAATCCCAGCATCCCCGGCTTATTCTGTCCTCCTCAAAGCCTCTGGCCCGGACTGTGAAGGAGCTCTGCTCTGCCTGCCGGTACTGGCTGCTGAGGTAGCACGACAGACATCTGAGAAAACGCCAGGGAAGAACAAATATTAGGAGAGAACAGACTCGGGGCTCGAGGTCTGACTGCTTTATCCCACAAATTCACACATGGACCCATCCCAGATAACTTTGTTAGTGTAATAACATCTTGATCTTATTATTATGTCCATGCTTTGTCTTGACCTTTTCAAGTGTTTAGGAAGTGCAGATATTTTCTAAGTATGAAATATAATGTAGCATAAATGTTCAAACCATGAATTTTATTTATCTGTTGTACGTTTCTACGTTATATTAAACATTGTCTTCTCCCAAAAATATTTACATACGACTAATTTGCTTTGCCAGACGGTGGAGTGCACATGATAGCTTGTAGAATTCAGTTCATATTAAGTTCATTAGCAACCTTTTGTTCTTAAAGGAAATGTGAATTTCCTGTACTTAGCCCTGTCATGAAATACTTCAGAAAAATCATGGGGTAGGGTGGCTAAAAAAGGAACTCCGGGCATGGGTCAAATGTTTATTTATTTATTTTTGTATCTCAAGGCCTTTACGGTTAAGATAATTATTATCATAATCATTAGTGCAGCTTTGAGTCAAAGTACCAATTGTTTTTTGGGCTCCAGCTTGTCAAATGTGAGGATTAGATGCTTTTCACAGTTTAACGTGTTTTAATTCTGTTGGTAGGACAAGACAAGCGACTTAAACATATCACCTTGGGCTCTTAGAACATTAATCAATACATCATTTTAAAAATCACCAATGTCAGTCATTGTTTCTAGCCCTGCTTTTTCTATCTGGACTGACAGAATCATATGGAATGGTGTTTCCAAAGTTCACTCTCTACTTAGATGTATTTTTGGTCTCCATCATCTCCTGAGAAAAATATCTGGCACTTTAGCTACTAAATGCTCCCCTATGTTCACTAGAGTGTCTTTAAGCTTGTGTGTGCTGCTTTTCATTGGGTTTTTAGAGCTTTTTGCTCTTAAAAAAACTTGCCTACTGCTTTCTCATCCACTGTCAACTGTCGACATAAAAACACTAAGTAGAAAAGCTTAAAGAACTGTGTTAAGTTGCCTGAATGCTTTGTACATTTGAATAAAAACATCTTCCACTGGCAGTGATCAGTTTTCAGACATTTGTTCAATTTAATTCTTTTGAAATAATCCATTACCTTTTTTTTACTAATGCAATTTAGTTGTATAAGAACGTATTCCTAGGGGACTGCCAGGGTTCTTACAGTATACTATATTACTGTCTGGTGATTTGCCAAAAGGTTACAAGCACCTCTAAAAATTTCCACCTCCTGTGGGCAATGTTAAAGAAGTAATGAGCACATGTGCATATGTTTCGTTCCAAAAGACGTAGCTGTTTTATACACACAGGACACTAAACAAAAGCCATGAAACTATAAAATAACAATCAGGTATTTTGGTGTAGCCAGTGTACCCAGCTGCTACAGTCTCAATTCTTCATGTTGGTGCATACTAACTATCACAGCAATGAGTTCGTTATTCGGAGCTAATCACGGCAGCTTGGCTCCGAGGTGACTGGACGGCCTCATACTATATCATTTTCTACAATCAGTGGGCACTTAACACCAAGACAAACCCTTCAGTCCTACCTAGCAACTTGAGGGAAGAGAAGCCAAGTCTGGACCAGTGCTCATTATTTCCACCTGCACTTCTTCAACAGGTAATTCATTACATTTAATTCAACTGTTTTTTGTAGCTGTTTGGTACAAAGTAATACACTGGACAACAAACAAACAAAAAAATCCCTCTCCCTGATTGACTGAATGCATAACCTCAGTCCAAAGAGTAATTGTCTGCTGATGCTAATCAATGCCTTAGATCAGAATTGAAGCATTCTGCTTGTTTACAACATCTATCATTTGTTCTTATCAAGTGTGATCAGAGCAATTTTCCCTCCCTTAATATAGGTTTGATGGGACAAAGAAAAGCTCAATTCTCTGAGAATTGGAAAACACATTTCTTGTGCTCTGTGGTAACTAAACTGTCAACAGATAAGAGAGTCCATAGTATCAACTTGTGGGTAATTCATCTTACAATTTTGCTGGTGTGTTTTCCTTTGGAACAGCTTGGAAATATGGTTTGAGGCCTTTGCTCAGATGTCACAGCAAATGCTTCGTCCAAATGCTCACACAAAAGAAAATGTAAAGCAGAATGCAAAATGTGCATACTGCTCTCGTAATCCCTAAAATGTCATATGTGTAGTTGTTGCTTAAACACACACACACACACACACACACACACACACACATTTGTACCCTTGTGTAAACTAATATCTGCAAAAGGGTGACGAGCTACTCATCCTCAGGCAGCTCTGCAAACTGCTGCAGACAGTAGCGTGAGGTGAGAGAGCAGTGTAGGCCACTTTGTATCATGTCAGCGCTGGCGGTTAGACGCCATCTCCACAGTGTCCCTTGTCACCAATCACATCCTTTTAAACCACCCAGGGAGCTCGACACCCCCCTCACCAACACATACACACGCTCCCTCTCTTATCTGTCAATGCTGCTTAAATAATGTAATTAATGACTTAATTAACATTTCCATAATCTATTTTAATAAATCTGACACGGCATAATGAGACTTTCTAACCTCCAGGCGATGGCATATAAAAATTCACATTGCAGAGCTGCATGGTCAGGGCACTGTCTCAACTCTCGCCATGACAGTAAAGCGAGGAGAGGGCGCATATTGTGTGACATCCTTCCAAAAGGCAGTTCGAGCCTAGCAAATGTAATGTGACTTTGTGAATGTGTCCAGTAACAGAGCTGAAGTACAAAGCGGTGGGGGGCAGAAAAGATTCCTTTAGCGGTTCAAAGTGTTGAACGGAAGCTAGAGAGCAATGCACTAAGCTGGAATGGGAGGGATTCTTCAGAAGATGCCTGTGAGTAGACTGTGAGGAAGAGCAGTGAACAGTGCTGAGCTGAGCTCGAACACAATACAAAGAATTTTGTTGTGTTTCACACTTGAATCTAAAGCTGCTGTGCTCACTTTTCTTTTGCTTCTTCTACTGTCTAATGCTTTTATAATGGCGGGACAATTTACTCTCCTTTTGTAACTAAATAGAAAAAGAAGCAAATATTAATTACAATGAAGGTTGGTTGGTCACATATTCAATCTTTCTCTTACTGTCATCTGAGATTTACCAACCTGATCCTAAAGATCAGTACAATCCTTTTGTTACTGAACTTTACTGTGTGTTGCCCACTTCAGTCTGTTAGAGCTGCAGCGTTGTGGTCCTTAATGATAGCCTGTCAAGCTAATTAACGTGAATTCTATGAGCAACTTGACAACAGGCCAACATTAAATGTGTCTGTAGTTGGGCTAAAGATCATTTGTGAGGTAATTAGCTCCACTCTGTAGCACCACCGTCCAATCTGAATGAACTGAGTGTTTCTGTAATTCCAACATTTCCAACAGGAGTGAAAACTCATGTTCAAGTATCAAAAAGCTTATAAATTTAAAGTTGCAGAATGCATCTATTTTCAATTATTTTTTGTTGTAGAAATTAGGGCTGCACGATAAATCTTTTTGTGAGCGTGTCATTTAAAATACTATAGCTGTTATTTTTATGTGTCAGACATATCCATCCATCCATTATCTATACCGCTTATTCTTGAACAGGGTCGCAGGAGGGACTGGAGCCAATCCCAGCTGACAATGGGCAAGAGGTGAAAGGCGGGGTCCACCCTGGACAGGTCACCAGTCTATCACAAGGCTGACATATTTAACCAGCATTTAAATAAATAAATACACACTGTAGTTGAAGGACTAAAATCAAGATTAAAATCAAATATAAATATATATATATAAATGAAGACATGTCTTTTGTCAATGGTTTCCATGAAAAACTAAAATCAAAAGTGTGTTAGTCTGCCCCTGAGAGCCCTGTCTGTAGCACTCAAGTCCATCGGCTCCTAATGGAGGTTGTAAATCAGGTCGCAAATATGTAGTTTCATTAAAAGGAAAGAGGCTCAATGATTTTTTTTACTTTACAGGATTAATTCACATTTGGTTTTGGTCTTTTGCTGACAAAACGTTGTACCTACATTGCCCACCATGCAAACGAGCTGCCGATGTCCTAGTAGCCTCAAGCAGAGATGTGGAGCTGGTAAACCTGCTTCTAACTCCACACCCCCAGATTCTTCTCCGTTTTCAAACCTGTAGCTGCTGACAGTGACTCAAGTAACTTCACTTGAGGCAATTTCACACAGATTTCACAGAGCTCCCTCTGGAGTCAGAAAAGGCTTGATACAGCTTTTTTCAAATAGGCTCTAGTATGCCCCAAGATCTAAAAACAGACTTTGAAGTGGAAAATCAGTGAAGTTTCTCTTAAACAAAAACAGAAGGGTAAGTTAAAAAGCATTGCACTAATTAACAAAATGACCATTGCATTACGTCTCATGCAACTAACATACATATTTAACCCAAATCTCCTGTAATTGCCCATTTTCACAAAAGAAAGTGACTATAATACTTAATTGCTTTACAGCAAACTAAACTCTTTGCAGCCATGGCAACTGACAACAGAAACATAGTCTCGCTCACAGGGAGGACATCAAAATGCCTTGGCCCCCGTGCCATTAAACGGGTTTTACTGCACTGTTACCATTTCAGTGTAAATCAGTGTAAACATGAGTACTCAGCATGGGTCCAACACAACAAAAGGTCATTCTAAACTGTTTACTTGTTTATCTTTGTTATAGAGATGAACAGGCTGTTGTGGGTGAGAGACAGGGGGACTAGTCCTCATGAGGGTTTCCACCCTGGGGCTGAGGAGTGACTGAGATTCACCCTGACAGGGGGCAGCAGGATGCTGGCACATCTCAGGGAGCATGAAGGGGCACAGGCCTGTGAGGCCCACCGCTGCTAATAAGGGCACCCGCCGACCTTCCCACTGTATCATTAATAATGTAAGTAAACCTGTTTAGTACAATGGAATGCCTCCTGTGTCACGGGGTGCAAGTTAAGCAGATGGACGTGTGTACACTATATAAGGACTGTTTCTGTTCCACGTCCCTAATCTGTGGCATGGTTCCACTGCACTCATTTAAGATTTGGGCTTTGAAGCTTTAAAAAAGACCCATAAATTAGGTATGCAATAATAAGTTATTTTGAATGATTCATATACTTTAGGGCAGTGTTTGTATTTTCAGATTAAAACTGTTAGCATGACAATGTGTTCTGAAGCTCTTTCAACTCAAACAAGGAGCAAATACCTGCAGCCAAGATCTGCCAGGAATGTAGCTCGTCTGAAGAAGCTGAATGTGTTGTAAACAAACCAATTTCCTGTCATAAAATTACAGCTCATTACTAGCGTGGATAAGCGCTACCAGAAAATAATGATGCAGAAGCACATTCCCGGTGCAACCATATTTATTAATTACCAGTTGACTAGCCGCATGCCTTGCAAAGACAGTTAATGGGGGAAAAGAAGTTACGAGCCTTGTTGAGTTAATTACAAACAATCTCTTATTTTAGTTAAGACAAATATTGGAGGAAGGAGAGATGTAGAACACAAAGTTTTAATTTAGCTACCGGCACGAAAAGCAGTTAAGGGTGACTGGAGGGTTATATCGCTTGTGCTATTACAAAGTCACATTTTACAATGAGCTTCATTAAGCAAAGAAACTTGTCTAGATCTCTGAATTTATTTGATTAAGATCAGCCAGTAAAGTCACTTTAAAAACGTGATTTTATTTTCAAAAACACTATTAAAACTATGTTTTCTCAAATGTAATTCTAAGTAATCCAGGTGGTGCTTTTCAGTAATGTGCAGCCTGGTTGAGTTACTACTTAGGCACTTACAGATTTCATAACCTGTATCTGTAATCTGACTACAATATTCACCATATGTTGCTTTCTAATCACAGAGTAGATATTGTTTATGCCAGGAATTGAATGCATTATTTACAAGTTAGATGTTAATAAAAGCACTATTCATTTACTAATGGTTTACAGAACCGCAGGCATCGTTCCAATTAGCAATATCAAAATGGGAAAGAAGACTAAGTGAAAACAAGAGGGCGGAGGGTGTCGGGAGGTCAGACAACAACATGTTTTCAGAGATGATTATTTGGGCGATGCAGACACTCACTGCGTCTTGTTTTGAAACTCACATAAAAATGAAATGTTACTTAAAAACACTGTTTGCATTTGGGAGATGAGAACACATCCAAGACTAGGATACAACCATAGTGAAAAGACCATCATCATCATATTAGTTGTTAATATTCAGACTGTGGCATGCCATATAAAGTTCAGACCAAGGGCACTCTAAAAAGTACAGACGTGAGGGTTAATAAACACAAATTAAAACTGAAATACTCACTTGATCAGCAGGATCTCTGTCAGAAAGCCAAACAAGGCTGCTGCCACTTTAAAGGTGTTGGGTGGGGGAGGATTGGTGAAGGCAGTCATCATGTAGTGAACAACATAAGGAACCAGACCCAGCAAAACAAACGCAGTGATCAGCACCAGCCATGTCTGCCACTGGAAGCTAACCGATCGCCACGGAGAACTCCTCTGGAGCTGGTACTGAAAGACAAGAGACAAAAACGACATGCAAGTCTGTCCTTATCACTCCATACACTCACACTGTTGTGTCTTACAACTGAACACACTTTGGTGATTCCTTCACTTTTTATGAAGCATCATCATCAGCTCAGATTTTCACAAAATGAATAACATTCCCATCAGCCTTAGCCATTTGATGCTAATTAGTAACTGTTAGCATGATAACATGCTAAACCAAGATGGCAAATCATTAAAATTACTAAACATCCATAGCCTATATTAAAACTGTCATTCTGAGAAGGTTAGCCTGCTGACATTAGCATTTGGCCCAAAGCATTGCTAAACCAAAGCACAGCATGGCTGTAGACTTTAAAACACACTGAGGTCTAGATCAGTGACATGATGAAATGTGATCCAGGAAATCCAATTTGAGTACAAATCTGTACACTTTAAACACATTTACTAGTCAGAGTCCTGCACAGATCCAATTTTGCAAACCTGCACCTAGAAAGCTCCACATCGGACCTGACTTGTTACCTGAAGTTATTTCTCAATGAAATCTGGACCCAACCTGACCCATTAACATAAAATCTGACTCGTACCTGTACTCATAATTATAATAAACTAAGCTATACTAAGCTATACAAGTGCTTGAGAGTTGGGTTCTTGGAAAAGTGTCTGTCATTTTTGCAGGTGCAGGACTCTGGATGATATGTTGTGTTTTGTTGTGGTAAAGGTCGGCAGAGGTTCAGTTTTTCTGGATGGCCGTGAGTTTTTATTGTCTGGCCTGTGCTTTTTCCACTCAGCATATTTAACCGTACCAGTGGGCTTTAGTCAACAGGATGGTTTGCATTTTGCCCATGAAATCACTGGATGTGCATTTTTTATGATAGGTCAGGGTTGGAGTTTAGGGGCCCTGAAGATTTAAGACAGCATGGCCTGATACCCCTCTCTGGGGTCAGTGATGGGTCAAGCATCATTTAACTTGAATATGGAGTTCACTCATTATTTGGCACTTTTAATAACTAGCAACTATGGTGACCTGCCATGTTTGACACAAACCAGTGTTGTTGTCAAGTCACAGTTTCTAACAGTATAGTGTACAGTGAGTTACAGAGTAAACAAACACCTACTGTTGGAAACAACCTCACACCAGTTATTATTATTATTTTACCTCAAACTTGACACTTCAAAAATGGTACACAACAGCTGAACAGAAACATTTCAACCCCCTGACCTCAACACATGCACAGACAGACATACACACATAAAAACACTGAAGCAGTCATCAAGCCAGCATGCAAACAGTGCCTTAAATCCTCGCCAGATATCGCCTTGCTCTGGAGACAAACCAAACCACTTGAACAGTGTTTGATTAGTGTCTGGAATTCATCTGCAAATGCACACTTGCCTTGTCCTCTTTCATGACTGCTATTCATTAATTAGATTCTTTGTGCAACTGAGCTATCCTCAGTGTTTAAGGTTACATCAGGCCCCAGTAAGTGGCTGCCTGATAACAGCATGCATCCATCTTCATTACTCAGCCCTCTCTGTCTAGGCTTGCTCCTCCACTAGTGAGCTATGTCAGTAGGTTCAAAAGAACTTGTGCATTTCATTGCATTCAGATCCTTTTTCCTGCTTTGAGTTTAGTTGCTGTGATTAAATGACTGGGGTGTGGTTACCTCTCATATCAGGTTCTTATGTGGTGATGTGTCTTTCACAAGGTGAAGAAGTGGTACGGCAAATGACAAGCAATCACCTTTTTGTGTTTTTAAATTACAAACTGTGTTGAGGGCACTTTAGGGTTTGTCAGATAAACATTACAGACAAGTCATTTGTAAATCCTGTAATAACATCCGTCCTGTCCTTCTGAACCATTTGGGTTTGATCCTTTACAGCCATGCATGTTGCTAAAACGTCTTCTTTCTAAATTTACCTGGTTTTTAAATGAAAACATTTTAAACATCCTAGAGCTGCAGATCCCAGCCAGGTGATTACATTGAAAGAAAGTCCCATTTGGGACATAGCAACTAATAATATGAAATTAGATTTCTGTCAAATTAAATATTAAATTAATCATATATATAAATGAGCAGGTAATGATGAGTTTATCTTTTTTTTTCCACTTGGTTTTAAAATGCAACCCAGTTTCTTCTACAGTATGTTTCTACAAGGTTTCCCCCCCCGAGAAATAGGAAAATAAAAGTAAGTTCATTCCATCTTTTCTGCCAAAAAAAGCTCAGACATACAGATAAATGTCTTCACAAACCAAAACCTGTTTTCCATTTTAGAGAAAATATCAATAGACTCATCTCCCAAGGTAGCAACAGAGCAAATGTGTTGCCACACAGTGAAGGCTTTCTTTTGTTATTTAGGAAAGGAAACCTAATAACACAGGCTTTTAAAGGGGGAATAAATGTGTTGGTCAGTCCTTAAGGTTTGGGAGACTGAAAGCAATTGAACATGCTTTAGTGACAATCCTGAAAGGGCGTGTTTAAATGAAGCTGTTAGCGTCACATCCATCAGCGAGATCTCAGCTTTTAGTCATTTCAAGGCCGAGCCAGTTTGAATCAAGCTAAAAGCAGCTCAATAGGTTTATTGTATTCCCTGAGCCAAATTAATTATCTGTGAAGAATTCAAGTAAAGCAACCACGAGGACACAGACTCGTCACATCTGTCTTGTCTCCATGTGACTGCATGGAATGTAAGCAGGTTTTTAGTATTTTAGAGGCTAGTAGTTGAGACAAAAAAGGAGACACAAGGGTCCAGCTCTTCCCTGAAGGAACCATGATTAAAGACACTCCATAAGGATATGTATCACCAGCCGGGCAGACATACCTGGCCCTTTTTTGTAAGAAACCCTGTCTCTTCAGAAATTACATTCGCTCCGCACACAATCTTAAATTCAAATAACACGTGGTAATCCAAACACTAGATTAAGGTGCAAGCCATAACTTCAAAAGTCAAAACTCCATACATTACCACTGGTTAGAAATCGCAGTGTGTTAATTACATCCTGATGTTTTATGACTATGACCTTTAAACACTATACCGATCAATCAGTACAAGAGGGAGGCAGTCTATTGGGAATATTTAGATCCACACATTCTGAAAGTAGGGCACTATTTATCCAAGCACAATCATTATTAATAGTCGGACAGTCAGCCCAAATACATTTTCTGCATATTTTCCACATTACCACCTTTCCCTAGTACGAGCACAACCACTGCCTCATACACATGTCCAGCAGCGAGACAATTCATTCAGGGCTGCGGCAGTGTTACAGCAAAGGGGACAAAGGGACAAGTGCAATATTATCTTCATAAAGTCACGGTCAGATGTGTTTGATCCGTCATTTAAATGACTGCAACACAAATTCAAATTCAAAGGTGCTTTGTTGGCATGAAAGTTTCACTAAACTACTGTATGTTGCCAAAGCATCAAAACACAGTTTTGTACAGTACAGTATTTACATAACTGGATGATTCAAAAGAAGAGAAACAAAACAGCATTTAGATTGATATGTATTACAGTACCTTATATCGCGTGTGTATGCTGTGTGCTCTGTGTGTGTCTCTTCACTGTCCTGCCAGGTTGTGGAATACTGGTACATTCTAAGCAACCAGATTTAGCCTGTCTCTGTTTCCTAGGAGAATATTTAACTTTGAGAGGTAATTTAGCTCTTTGAAACCTGAAATTACAGAGAACTTTTCAAAATAAATGTTCCTTATTTCATAGATTTTTATTGCACTTTATTTTTAAGTGTATCTCTGTCTCAACATCACCTGTCAAACAAGATTCTGCTGGATGTTGGGCAACACACACAGAGCAGTGCAAATTCAGTGCAGGACTACAAAAATGGGTCAGTACTTCAGTATTTTATGCTTTTGAAGCATGTCAACACCAGGTAAAGAGGACAATAGAATATCCTGAAGTGTTGACGCATCAACCCGCAATGATGCGCATCAGTTTGCCACCGTTGTGCGTTGCCCTTTAGCCTAGATTCTGCTATAGAATTATCCAGGACCAGCTCCTATGTATTGGATGTGCCATTGTCATTGGAAATACTGCTAGATTAATACTTTAGGGAGTAAACTAGTTATAAAGACATGCTTACATTAGCAGCTTTGCTTGGTGCAAAGACATTGTTTATTCCATTCTTTTTGCTATTTTGCTCTCACGTTTTTGTTTAGGAAAGGTCACTCCCCGACTCTTGAGTGTGAGAGACTGGCCATGGCTGTAAGCTACACTGCTAAGAAATGTTTACATTTTAACTATTACTATATATGCATCCAACTAAACTTGAATTGTACATGTCTGTCATAAGTAAAAACTGCTGCTAAATTACTTACCAACCACGTACCAGGTAGCCTATAGCTGTTGTAGGAGAGATCTGGATTTATTTTCCTAAACTGGCTCCGCACTTAGTAACCTTTAACTGGCTATTATTGGTATATTGACAAACTTTAGTTAGATCATCTCATTTCAGCTGCCACACAAATTAACTGTGTAATGTTGAAATGCCAAGCAGCTCCTGAGACTGCCTCCTGTGTACATGCTGCTTGTTTGCTAACAACAGGGATGAAGTTTGCACCAGACTGGAAAGTCTATTAACTTATTGAGATTAAAAGGCTGATGCCTTAGCTCCTGCCCGCCCCTCCATGGTCCCTTCCCCCGGCCGGCACTACACCTCCAAAGGAGAAAGGTGATTGATGAGAGCCATCAGGCAGCTTGGAATCTCTTCTCTCATTAGACTCCTTATGCATCTAAGCTGTTTCAACACAGACTGGGAGAGCAGGGCTGGGGGAAGGGAGTGAAGTGTTGTCCGTGCTCTAACTTTTTAGAAGACAAGTACTGGCACTTAAATATTTAGCTTGTACATTAATCTCTGGGAAATTAATTTGCCATTATACTTTCTCCCTCAGTAAAAAAAAAAGACTTTTTTAAAACAGAAAACTGCAGTTTTCCCTCCCTACTTCATGCTCAGTGAGCGTTCTCTCTTTTCACTCACTCATGGGATT